TCCTCCCCTCCCCCTCCCCTCCCCTCCCCTCCTTAATCAGGAAAAAAGCTTTTTGTCCCAAATTTGTGTGGTGACCCAAGAAGCATTTTCTTGTTTCTGGACCAGAATTCCCCTGGAGATAAAGCATGTGATAATCAGGTATCTTTCCTAGAGAACTCCTGGACATACTGATGTTTGCATGGACAAGCCATGAGGAATTTTGGTTCCTTCTGCCAAGTAAAAACTTAAGCATGCTATCATACCAGGTATAATTAAAGAGCAAGACCTATGAATCTTGAAAGCAAGCTAGAATCTAAGAAAGCCATCTTTGTTATGCACGATAGATGCACACCCTCTACTCATTCTTTGGACACCCCAAAGATACAATCAGCTGCCAAAACATTGGAAGAAGCCAGTATATGAAAAGCATGCCTAAAGAAAGCATGGAGAAGTAGTATTTCTAGGTACATAAGGAGAAGGGATCATTTCCAATGATATCAGAGGCTGATTTGGGCATTATTATTTGTAAGATATGAATGTCTTCTGTGGTTTATCTAAAGGGGAAAGGGCGTTTGGAAAAAAGTGGGGGTGGGAAGCCAAGAGAGGCAGTGTTGACACAATTAGTTACATGTTTAGAGGACCAATCCAAGTTGAACTTGAACTCATTACTAGAACTGGAAGGAGGTGAAGGGAGTAGTTATCACTAGACAAAATGGTCACATGGGAAGGAAATATCTTAAGCTGCTAAAATTCCCAAGGGTTTTTGCGTAAGGATCACTCTGATAAGGATTTCAAGCACAACTCCTTTGAAGAAGCCTGTCAAGTTTGAATGCTGCTCCTTTTTGGACAAGGTCTAGGGAAGAAGATTAGATCTAATGCTAGAAAAGAGGTTGGTCAAGTTTCCATTAAATGTAATATGGATCACTAAAAAATCTGATTGTTTCAGAAGAAACAGTATAGCCATGTGCTTATACTTCTCAGAAATAAGACACTCTGAACTGAAAGGAATGTACTTTCAGGTAAGTGCATATAAGATTATAAAGTATTTTATGAAGTATTTTAAATTCATTATTAAAACAGGCCAAATTCCAAGCAAATCTTGAGTCCAGTTGCTTCATCTCGCCTCGTCTAGCTCACAACCATGTTACTACATGGACAGTATCGAATTGAACAAAATTTCTAGCTTACTATTTCCACATTGTGAAAAGCTGAATGTTTGATAATTTTGAATGAATTGAAAATTAATGTAACCATCCATATTGCACAGAAGGGAAATTAAATACACTCTATTGTCATCTGGTGAATAGAAAATGTTCAACTTTTCTTGAAGGACTTAAATGCAGTCTGTATAATAAAGTCTAGTATCCTGAAAGTTCTGTACATTTTATATTGAACATCTGAAGGTACAATCCTACATCTTCCTAACATCATTTGGGATGGATAAACTGAAGTCTGAACAGTAACAATGAAAAAACACTGTGAAGCTGGAGATGGGATTTTGACATCAGAAGAATCTTCACCCAGTTTCACAGCAGGTGCAGCTCTTTCTGTGTTGATTTCAAAGATGGTTGGTTTCCAAAGATGAAAGACTACATTCAGAGCTGGCATGGGAGAGGTGTTGGCAAAGGAGCTGCATTGCCATTCTCTGAAGTAGCCTGATAATGCTTCAGCCTCCCCTTCATGCAAGGAGAGTAATGACATAAAGACAGCCAAATTGGCTATGTCCTTGTTGCTGAGAGTTGAAAAAGCAGGGAAGTAATCCTCTCCTGAGAACTCCTTTTGCCCGTCATAGGATCCCTGCAACACTGAATTGCATGGTTCTAGGCAGACACATTGGATTGTGCTCTGAATATGTTTTAAGAAATGATGCCCAAAATGGTTTTGAGGTGCCATTAGGCATGAAAAGAAAATAAGAAGTTTAGACGAATCATACTTAATCTCTCTTTCTGTCCCCTCCCAGCCCTCATACAGCCATTCAAAGAATGTGTAGTGTCAGACAGATTTTACAATTACTAATATGATTGTAAAATTAATGTATGATTAAGAGTGTCTCCAATTAATTAAATCAGTGTGATCAAATCACATGTACTGGAATACATTAGCAGTAAAATATATTCAGTATAGAACTGAAATAGATTCTGCATCAGTGAAGGATCTATCAAAGTGAATGAAGATAAAACAAATAGAAATTATGTAAAATGGATATTCCAATAAGACATTATATGATTCCTGGAAAGGACAATTTGTTCTTGTTCTGTTTGGTTTTCTTTGCTATGATGAGTGCATTTATTTACAATTTAATTCAATTGTATTTGTGAATGCCAGTGAATGCACTGCTTTCACTTACATCAGCTTACAGAATAGTCTGAAGTGGCTGATCCTGCCCAATCGTGGAAGCTAAGCAAGATCAGACCAGGCTGAAATCTGGATGAGTGACTTGAATTGGACCTGATGGCCTGCTAGGCCCTTTCCAACTGTATGATTCTATGAATCACCTTGGTGAACTGTCACAAAGTTTATGGGTTAGGGGTTACACCATGCTTAATGATAGTTTTCTATATTTCTTTCCAGGACTAATTTCTCCCCTCCTTGAAACTGACGTCACTGATAAAGGTAGAAAAGAATGTGGAACCAAACCTCCCATGCAGAATTTGTCATTACAGGTTTTCCTGAACTTCCACAGCATCAGTTAATGTTGTTTGCCATTTTCATAACTATCTACATCTTTACTCTGCTGGAAAACATCCTCCTCATTGTGACAATTTGCTTGAGCAAACATCTGCACACACCCATGTATTTCTTCTTAGGGAATCTTTCTATTTTGGATATCTTCTATGTCTCAGTGACAATGCCCAAATTGTTCTCCAACCTACTGTTGGGTGAGAAGACAATCACACTGCTTGGTTGTCTCACTCAGCTGTATTTTTTTCTATCCTTGGCTTCTTCAGAGTGTTTTCTCCTGGCAACAATGGCCTATGACAGGTATTTGGCCATCTGCCAGCCACTACATTACACATCACTCATGAATCACAGTGTCTACACAGCCCTGACCCTGGCTTCTTGGCTAGGTGGCTTCATTGCTTGCTTTCCCTCTGTGGTGATGATTTCCAAGTTGCAGTTTTGCAAGACAAATATCATTAGACATTTCTTCTGTGATATCTCACCTTTGTTGAGGTTGTCATGCACTGACACCTCATCCATTGAAAGGCTAGATTTTGTGGTGGCCTTAGCTGTCCTTATGACTTCACTGTTGGTGACTGGAACATCTTATGGATGCATTCTTTGTATGGTTGCAAGTATCTCCTCCACCAAGGGGAAGCATAAAGCTTTTTACACTTGTGCCTCCCACCTAGCAGTTTTCTCCATGTTCTATGTCACGACCATATTCATGTATGCCCGGCCCAAGGCCATTGGAAACTTTGACCTCAACAAGCTAGTGGCCATCCTCTATGCAGTGGTGGCTCCATGTCTGAATCCAATCATTTACAGTCTTAGGAACAGAGAGGTGAGAGAGGCCTTACACAGAGCCTTTCATAGCTCAGCTGCTTTCTTGCGATGTTTGGAAGCATCTAGAATGAACCCATGGTCAAACTGAATTAATGGAAAATAAGGCTAAGTTTAGACAACAATTTTGCCGTGACAAAACATTGCTCAATTACTTGTATACTAATAAAAATCCCTTTATCTCTATGGTGCATTTCAGCAATCTGAACTCCAAGGAAGTTTTCAGTAAGCAGGTTCTCCCTCATGTACTGAAATAGTTAATAACCCTTGTATTTTTTTTTTCTTGTAAGCAGCAAAAATAAAAAACCTTACAAATAGTGTTGTTGTTTTAATGAGGATATTAATTCTTATGGGTCAATATATATATTTTTTATATGGATCCCTTCTAGTCTCTCTATATGCTGCTCTAGCATAAAAGAAACCATCTGTGAAGTCACAGGCCATTAAACCAGGGTATCAGTTTTAGAAACCTTTCTTCCATGAGAATTGCATCCACCAGTATTTTTATATCTCAAAATGTGAACTGATTTGAAAATAAAATAAAATGGTATACCTGATGATTTAAGGGATTCTAACCTGAAAGAGTCTCTGTGGAAGCTTATTCTACAGCTAATTTTGGGCTACATGTGTCTGTGTTTAGTTTGTTTGTTTTTGTTTTGATCTGTGCCATTAGTTAAAACCATTTCAGAAGTTCTTGTTATGACAAATGGTGAATGAAAGCTTATGTGTCCTTGAAGTTAAACTGTTGAATTAGGACTATAAACACTTAGATCCAATCAACATGAAGCTTTCTGGGAGAGCTTGACCAGGTCATTTTCTCTCAGCCTAACCTACCTCACAAGGTGCTTTGGGTGTGTGTCACATGAGGCATGTGAAGGAATGTTAGATTAAAAATTAAGAAATCCAATGCCCATATCGTACTTGTTGTGGACCTGCGTGCCAAACCATTGTCCTCAGGAGATTTCTCAGGGGAGAGAACAGAATGATTCAGAGGAGGCACAGCCTTAGAAAGCCATCGTGAATCTTTTTTCTCCTCAAAAAATGCTTAACCAGAGGAAACATGTGGCTTTTCTCTTCTGAATCCAGAGGAGATTCCATGACCAACTTGAGAGCTGAAATTCCACAGCCATGATACTACAAGCTTCTTTAAAGTTCAGACCCTCAGTAGAGGTAGAGGTGCACCGAAGCCACCTATGAGGAGTCTTTCTTGACAGGGAGAAATTCAGGAAAGACTAAACTTCCTAACTGGTCAAGAATTAGCAAAGCATAAGTTAACTTTAATTTAATGTTTGAGCATAAGCTGAGCTCAAAAATAGCCTTAAAACACAGAGGGAATCTGGCAGGGTTAAGAAGGAAAGGCAGAGCCATTTTTGAGAGAAGCTGAAAGTTGAAGAGTTGAATGCTTGGCAAAAATGACATCCCTGACAGTAAGACATTCCTGGGAGCAACTTAGAGGTTGTAAGGACTTTGGGATGGATGTGGAATTAGATGGATGTGTTTACCCAGGTTATCTTTTTATCCCTTTGCCCTGATGATTTCTGTCCCTCTCTGTGTTTTAAGTAATCAGATGTGAAATGTTTCCTACATTCCTAGGAATAATTTTTTCCCATAAAACTTTAAAAATGTTAATCTATCTGTGGTCATCACTTGGCTAAGCCAAACTTCCCACTACTTAATTTGTTTTAAAAAGACCTTGGGGGTTGTTAAGACTGTTTGTTGGAGGAAGCTGGGAAAAATAATTGGTGGCATCATAGCAGGATGAAAATGGCATCCAAGAAGGGCATCCAAGAAGAGAATGTTCCACCTGGACTGGTCTCTCTTCCACATGCAGATCAGGGCACAGTTTGTACCATGACAAGTAAAAATGAGGCAGGGATTGTCTATCATTAATGATAAGAACAAAGAAAGCATGGGCGCACAGATAAAAATGCTATGCAAGAGAAATACTTTTTAGTCTTCCACAACATTTATTCCCTGGTAAGTGTACAGAATTGTGTCTATAGGAAATCCAAGCCAAAAGTACTGGGCACAATTTAAAAATAATAATAATGGAAAAGCTCATTTTAGATGAAAGAAGTGATATTTCAGTGATGTTTCTGATTTTTAAACTGTCAAATAGGAAACATTGCTTTGAAGCTATGCCAAATTCTTGCATCTGCTTTTTAATTAGTTCTTATGATGATCTGTGAAATAGCTGCCTGCGAGATGTAACTTTGATTCATGCCTTATCCTCTGCTTCCCCCTGGTGCTCGTTTTATCAACATACAAATCCAATTGTGACTATAAATCTTAACAGTAACATTTATTCCTGACAGAAACCACAGGGATAACTCCACAATGTTTTTCAGTGAATCAGTGTGTGCATTCAGTAATTAATTATTAACTAATTATTCAGTAATTATCCATTGGTTAATGTTGCTTAGCACTGAATTACTGTGGCATGCTGAATTGGGGGAACTGAAAGAAAAACCCGGCATTTGTCCATCCATCCACTGTTTAGGTAGATGTTTACCTCTCCCACCCCACCCCCAGGCCTCCCCAAAAAAGACTTACTGCATGTTCAACACTGATTTTACATAACTTCATCTTTACTCAATATTAATCTTAAACACCAATTTTGATTTAATAAATTCCTGGAATACATACTGGAATTAAAGGAGGACTTTAAGGACTTTTCATCATTTTCAGGACATGTCAATATCTAGTAGCACTGGACAGGACAGAGGGTGTGCAGGAATCCACCAACAGAACCACAGCAATTTGTGAGTCCCCACCTAACACTTGGTAGCTGCTGTAATTATTGAAAACAATGTGGGACTATGGGAAGGAACTTGAGCTCATTTGGAAGACTTGTCTTACCTTTTTGAGTTCACCTAAAGATCAAATGTCACATAGATTTGGCAAAGAAAAAAGTATTATTGTGTGCGCTAAAAACCTTGCTGACTTGAGATCAGAAGGATCACAGCCATTTTATGTAAGAGGGAAATTAGAAACATAGAAACAGAGCAAGTCAGAAGGGGTCTCCCAGGCCATCTAGTCTGACCCCCAGCTCCAGCCAGCTCTGCTCACGACATGCCCACCATGTGCATGTCTAGCTTATCCTTGAACACCCTCACCAATGGAGTCTCTCCTCCTCTCCCTATCTGAATTCCTGTCTTCCAAGCAGGGATGGTGATTATCTTATTTTACAATGCTCCCTTGATTTCCTACAATATGATATGCAAATAGATCACAGCACCTTTGAACATGGAAAGGAGACAAAAGTCAGTGTAAGGAGTTGCTAAAAGGACTTGGCAGGCAAAAAGAAAGAAAGAAGTAAAGAAAGAAAGAATTATAGATGTCCAAAAGAGGGAGGGGGGAAAGGGAAGGGGAAAGTTGTTTCTTTATCTCTGGAAAGGGTTGAAAGCCCTCTCTCCTGCACCTGTTCACAAACATCACTGGGAGGTTGCCACCATCACTGGGTTCTCCTGCTGCTGCTGCTGCCACTGCTTCTCATTACATGCCCTCAAGTGATCTCTGGCTTATGGTGACTCTGTGAATGAACACCTTCCAAAACATCCTGTCCATCACAGTCCTGTTCAGTTCTTGTACACTCAAGGCTGTGATTGATCCTTAACAATAAAGGTCAGGTGGTTATCTGTTTAGGACTCTGCAATCAATGACTGCCTCAACTAAAATTAGAGTGCTTACCAGAAGTGCAACCTACATTACAAGCCAATGTAAGAGCCTTTTCTTTCATCTTGGGTGAGAGCAAATGTCTTTCCTCAGAATTCTCTCTCAATACTCATGCCAATGGGCAATTGCTGAGACAGACAGAGGAAGTTCAGTCCAACCTGGGGCCTGCATCCTTCGGAAAATGCAAATATCCAAGCCAAGCCTGCCATAGACTGCTGATACCATATCTAGCCTTAGGCCTCTATTGTGTGGTCTGAGGTCACTTGTGTTCACCTTGCTAAACTTGCAGGACTTGGCCTGGTCCTGGCCTGCACAGGAGGCCAAGCAAAAACAACTTCATGCTGCTTTGCATTCCATTATGGAAAGAAGATGGAATAGAATTGCAATAAGTAAAAAAGTAAATGCATGTTTTTGATTTCACGGGCTTTAAATTTGTGAAATGTTTTTATCCATCTGAGGTAACTCAGAAATAGGGTTGCATGTTGCAAAGGTGTGATTAAAAATAAATATGTAAACCATGTCCCTATAAGAAGGAAATAGTTTTTTGCAACATCAGGCAAATTCAAGAAGAGTAGGGCTGTTGAGACAGGATGGAATTTGGGCATGTTTCAGGCTCAGGAAGGATACAGGCTTCCACCACTGTCCCAGGGCCAATAGGCTGCCCCTGCTGCTCATTATCTCTGCCATGCCCTGCCAAAAAAAACTTGCCCCAAGCCAGCAACTATCCATTGCCTGCTACCGCACCACTGAAAGGGCCACAAATCTTCATATGTCTCTACAAAAGGAAGATATGTTCTGCATTGTCATTAGATCAAATTCCAGTTGTGTGGATTCCCTTCTATTGTGTAAATACATCCAAATTTCATGTCATGTGAATGTAGGCAACAAAGTATGCAGACACAAAAGAAAAATGCACCGTATGTTGCAGTAGCTTGGGCTATGCATGCAAATAAAGATTACAGCCCCATTCATATTTCTAAATGTGTCATAAGAAGACCCCTAGAAGAGGATCTAATCTTTGAAAGTGTACCTTGTATCTGAAGACCTAAGTCTAATAAGACACGTCATAAAAAAGAAAAATAATGAATGAACTCCCAATTTAATTCTGATTGATCCAGTATTTGACCACACGGACCTGACGTGTAAGGGGATTATCCTCAATACAAACATTTGTCCTATCAAAGTAAGATGAGGTGTGACTCCCCATCTCTAAATATAATGGCCACTTTTGCCTATAATGCATTTTGTACAGGACAGTAAGTCCAGTGCTATGCAATTAACTTAAGATAAAAATACAACCAGTTTCTAAAGCATCACACTCTGTTCCATTAGAAGTATGTCTTTAATTGCGATTCCTTTCTAAAAATGAAACTTTTGCAATTGGTCACACTGGGGCTGCTACCCAGGAGTTAATAA